GTCTGATTCGTTGTTGTTGTTGTCCTTGTTGTCGTGCGATATGTGCGTTTGTTGAAACAATCGATTTATTTTCGGTTTCATTTCTGATTGGCAATATTTCATAGCAATGTCGCTCCTTTTTTTTTTCTTTCGGCCCCCTGTTTTGGTCCTTTCTGTTTGTGTATGTGAATGGAACAGGGGCGTAGGACAAGGGGGGATTTGGGTGTTATAACCCCTTTCAGGTTAAATCCCATGAAAAATATGGTGTTAAAAAGCAAAGCTAACAAAATGTTTTTTGAGAACCCCCCTCAACCAAACACTGACTACGCCACTGAACTGGAATATTTGTATTTTTTAAATAACAATAACATAGGGTGTGAGATGGAATTGGTATAAGGATTTTGGTGAACTCAAAATGAATATTCATTCGTTTACAGAACAGCGAAGTCTTTCAAGTCATTCCAAATTTTTCATAGCCCCTAAATAGTTCAACGATGTAGATTCAAATGTCTTAATACCTAAATTTTGTTAATTTTTTGTTGCTTATTTGAAAGAAAATCGACGGTTTTATTTGATTTCAATAAATTTAATCTTCCCACCCTCCGAATCGACTTTTTTGTGCGCGCTTGCAAAATGCTATTTTGTTTTATTTATATATTTATTTTTATATGGTTTGCCAATTATTGAAATAAATAATGGATCTCTGAACCGCGCAGAATTTCCTCGTTGGAGGTTGAATAAATAAAACCGAAATTGATAATTGTCGTATGCCAGTTCGGGCGGAAAATTATGGTGGCTGTTCTGTACAATGCGGTTTAAAATATGCACTTTTTTCGGGAATCGAATATGAGTGCTCATCGTGTGTGGAAAAGTTTTTCCAGCTGCATTTGCATAGGCTTGACCACAGAAGTTTAATTTCCCGTTTTTGTTCCAATCAAATCCCTAACCAAACCGTTCACAATTCAACAACGCAAATCCAACACACACAAGGCAACCGCAACAATTATAATGTCATAAACAGCACCGACTCTATACCATTTTCCTTTTACGGTTCCAATATACGAATTCTGTGGTATAAGTCACTAGTTCTTTTACTGAAAACTTTAAAGGTTGAAAAGCGGTTTCATGCGTAGATCTTCTGAAGGATTTTCGGGAAAATTCCCCCTCAAGGAATTTACATAAAAATGTGCTATAATAAGGATGCAGCAAAAAATTGGTTCTGATCTCGAATCCGCCACTCAATGTTTAATTTCTCTTTTTTTTATAAACAATGTGTTTTACCGTTTAAAAAATCATACCTTGATACTGTAATCGATATAAAGAGGAAGCATGTTTCTAGAGGAGCATTTAAGAAAACCGAAGCTTCGTTCTCTACCCATAAATTTGAATCAATATTTCGGTTATTGGCATTGCACAACGACAATACCACGGACTGAAACGGCAACAAAGTCAGCGACACGTACCACGAAAAATTGCACATACTTTGATGCCCCCTCTTCGGGAAAAGTCATCAGACTCTGGAGCATTGGATTTGGTGATTGGGTGGCTTTGTGGTTGGGTGGCTCACTGCGGTTTAGAGCCAGCTTGCGGGTACTTTATCAAGAGACCGCCTAACACACTCAGACTAAAATTGGGCCCATTTTGATTGTTATCGAACAAGTTCTAGAATGTGGATAAAAACAAATAAAAAATAGAACGTTCTAAGCAAAAAAATTACTATGATTAATAAGTTTTGTATAATAATTAAAACATTGATATTCCAAAAAAATGTTAAAAGTTAGATATTTTGAAAGATATCACAAAATTTATTCTAAGTGCATTGTCGCTGCGACGAAGCCAACTATGACTCGAACCCCCGTGTTTCACAGGCTTCTCTGGTCCGCAAAACACACTCCCCCCGTCCATATTGTCGTTTGCTCGACGGTTTAACGTTAATTTGCACAATTTTTGAGTTATGTCAATCGATTTCTAATGGGCGTCGCCGCGTATGCGCCACTAAATCCCCCACTACCAGGAAAACCGAGCAGATGCAATGGCTGACGCGGCCAAAATTCGGGAGAGTTATGTATCTATGTGGGGACATTCTCAATTTGTAGTTTCACAATGCCAGGGTTACGTATGATGGTATCGATAGAAAGTGTTTTCATACCTGACAAAGACATTACCGTATTTGATATTAGCCGACTTTCTTAAGGTGAATGCTAGTCAGCCATGTTAAGGGAAAAATATTTGGTAATGGAAACGCTTCCATCTTCCTGTTAAATATTTTATCATATTTCCAATATCCCTTTTCCTTCAATTAATTTGTGCTTAAAGTTGTAAAATCACAAATTGCATATCGTCTGTCAACAAATGTACACAATACCAATTTTAGCCTGAAGGATTCACGCACAGACGAAGCTTCAACCACATACAAACACGAAATGACATTTATTTATGACATTAATGCATACAAAATAATATAAAAATAAATTGGATGCATACATATATCCCACCAAATGTAATATGCAATGGGACTGAAACTTAACAGTAGAATGTTTTTTAAGGATGGGAAGAAGGGGGCAGACGCCGTCAAATGTTGTCATTAAATTCAGCGGTTTGCGGTAGGAAGGGATGATGATGAAATGCAGGATTCCTATAACCTGGCTGCAAAACAAGCGAAAATTTCTGTTTATATTTAATTCATGCGACGGAAAAATGGTTTGTTTACTCGCGTTTTGTAGGCTTTGTCAGCCGATAGAGAATGAGAGGGCATATATGCAGTACATGCAGATATTGTATATACAAAGCCCCTGAATTGCATTTGCATTGCCTACTTATGGGCGAATTATGTTTGGTATTTCTGCCCTCAGACCCTTTTTTTTGGGTGGCCATGGTGTACATAACATCCACTGCGAAATAACGATTAATGCTTAACACTGACAGCATTGCTACAACTACAATAATTTCGAAAATTGCATTGTTTTGGCTGGGACATTTGGGATAGCACAAAGGCGCGTCGAATTTTAAATCATTTCTGCACTCGGTGACCGAAGGGGGGCAACTATAGTTTGCAAATTGTTGTATTCGCCTGTGGCAGGGGTGCTATTTTGGGGTGTCAGTTTATAATGGAAGCCTCGTTATACCCGCCTCATCTCATTTTGGCTATCTGGAGTTTGGGTGGTTGGGGTTGGGGCTTGTGGATATTGGGCAGTTAGAGCGCATCGTTTCTGCAATTGGCTGTTGCTGCTTTCGCTGCTAAAATATGCCCGCGTTTTATTTAACGCTTTGTTTGTCTGGCAGTTTGGTTCAGCGAGAGCAGGAAAGTGACTATTGGTTATTCTAGTCATGTTTGTGACACATGCACAGCTATTTTCGTACTGTCCTATTGCATATGTCAACTTATCATGCAAATTAAAATTCTACATCGAACCATTTCGATGGATCATAACTAAAATTCCTTCCATTTACGGAGACCGGAGCATAGAATTTTTTTTGTTTTTATTGCCTTTTTACATTAATTAATCATTTTGGGCACGTAGCTAGAAAAAGACACCTCGACCTCGCAAAGTTTATAAATGTATATGGCATTTTTTTCTCGTATGCTAGAAACTTGCAACTTCAAATCTTGGAAACTACAGCTATTTAAAATATCAGTGGAAAAGCATTTTCAAGAAAGTCACAGTATTCTACTGATTCAGGATCATCAAGTGTATAAGCTTTCCTAACCTATCATGTATCCTATGAGTCGATTTAACGAACGAATAGGCAGCCTATATCTTCTTGCCTGACCAGATGCCCTGACTATCAGATACCCTTTACTCAGGTAAAGAAAGTGCGAGGAGATGCACCAAAGGGACACCTAGCGGACATATTCATACTTCATAGTTTTGGATAGGTATTGGGAATTAAAAGAGAGATCTCAGTATTCATACGACTAACAGGAATAAAGCAGTGCGTAAAAGCAAAAATATGCAAGACCAATTTATTTTTCAAATGTATGCCTGGCTTCAAAATGCAATTTAATTAATTCGCTAATAAAAATATGTAAATTCGTTCAGAATGTGCAATAAAACCTGCGGGTTATTCTGCACTCGACCAGCAATTATGCTGTCAAAATAATTATTTGGTAAATTGCTTTGTAAACTGCAGGCGAAATTCGCAGACCACAAATGACAAAAACAAATATTGCAAAAAAAGGTATTTTGCAATTAATCTCTAAAATAGACAAATCCCGCTTCACCAAACCAGCCAGCCTATCTCATTCCACATTTTTGATCCTTTTCCGCCAGCCGACTGCTTTATTAATATTAATTGAAAATAAATGCAACATAAGCCGGGTCGGTCAAAAAGCAGATGCCCCTGAGGTGAGTAGTGGGAGCTGTGTGCGCCGGGTTGCGCATCCAAAAATGTTGTAAAATGCAAATAATTAAATGGCAACCAATAAAATATGCAAATGAGTTTCGCGACACTTAACTGGGCGGTATGAAGGTTCGAACGGGACGGCAAAATTGCAAGGGTGTCTGCATATAATGAAATTCACCGAGCACGATGATGATAATGGCTTCAAAGCAAGTGCATGTTGAATAGCATAGAAAAGCAGCCATTGGGTTTAGAACATATCTAGGAATAAGCATGGTAAGCTGTTAGAATCGTCTTGCGATTAGCGTACCCACAATAACAGATTGCTACACACAAAAAAAATACGTTGCGATCAAATCGATATGCACATGGTAAATTTCTGGTATTTCATACGCATCTCGTTTTTAGCGAAACCTCTCTCTCGAAGGTTTTCGGACGAATAAATAGAGCAAGATAGCGCTTAAAGTTAAATGAGTTGAAGGGAGAAAGAAACATTCGAAATTTAAAATGGCCTGTTCTTTAAATTTTGGCATATCGCACTGAAAACCTAACATCAAATCGATCATTATTTCATATCACGATTTTTTTTTGGTGTAAGCATTAGATTACGTTTTTTACCTTTGTCATTTGTATAAGTAATCAAATCTTTAATCTTTCTAAATCTTAACTCTTTCTTTAAGGCACTCGACTACGATTGTGAGGTGCAGGGCCAGGACATCCCGCAGGCTATTCAGCTTCTTGGGGAGATGAACAGCAACGTGAAACAGGTGACAGATTTGGTTGAGGGCATGCTGCAGCGGGTTAAGCGGGGTGAACTGACCACGGAGTACGGTCTTAGCTTCCTTGAGGTGAAGTACCACATGCTCCTCGACTACTTGATCAATCTCACCTACGTGGTACTGCGCAAATGCTCCGGCGAGACCATCGAGGGCGATCCCTCCATCGAACGCCTGATCGAGATACGCACCGTGCTGGAGAAGATTCGGCCCATAGATCACAAGTTACGCTACCAAATCGACAAGCTAGTTAAGACGGCCACGACAGGCGTCTCGAGCAGTACAGATCCCATACTTTACAAGCCCAATCCGGACGATATGATGAGCAGCGCAGCCGGAGCAGGCCGCAATGAGGATGATAAGCAAGATGACAGCGATGAGGACGACGACGACGATGATGAGGAGGACGAAGAGGATGAGGATGAGGCCGGTGCTGCAAAAATGCCTCGCAAGGCGGCCACAGCAGGCAAATCCGGAGTGTATGTGCCGCCGCGCATCAAACCCGTTTACTACGATGGCGACGAACGCGATGCAGACAAGGAGAAGAAGGCCATGGACCGGGCCAAGAAGCGGGCCATTACGTGAGTTGGACACCTTTTCCCATCAGTTTCCGTTCAGCAGCTAACTATGTATTTATTTCCAGGTCCTCGATGCTGCAGGACCTCAAAGAGGAGTACTTGGACGCTCCCACTGAGATATCGTCCGGTTCGCGGGCTCAGCAAATGCTGTCCAATGCACAGAAGGAGAAACAGGAGTACGAGGAGACCTATTTGATGCGTCTGCCGGTGACCAAGGCAGAGAAGCATCGCCAGCGCAAGCTGACCACGTTGGGTATGTTACTTCACTGCTGCTTTATTTATGCTGTAATTTCTAACCGATTTATCTATGACGTCCACAGGCACACTTGGCGATGAAATCCTCGGAGAGATTAGCCGGGAATCCGCCATGCGCGGCGATGGAAGTAAAAAGCGCAAGCTGGCCAAAAAGGGCAAGGGAAAGAAACGTGGCGGTAAAAAGCGAAAGTTCCATTAATAGGAACCAAAGCCACTAAATAAGTGACCACGTCTTTTAGATTATAGAACAACTGTAAACTGTAAAGTTTTAAAGCAGATCTATTTTTAATTGATTTGATTTGATAAGTTGAGTTTTCCATTATTTGTATCTTAGTTCACTAATGGTTTTTATATATATTTTTGAGTATGAAACATTTATATTTGTGTAATGTTAAGTTTTTCAAATTTATATTTTTTACCAAATTTTCATTAAAAAGTTTCTTATATCATTAAAATGCAAACGTGTTTTTATTCATTTATACATTTCATTTTGAAAATTATTTTCAGCTTACCAATTACCAATGCTTATCCAGCAAAGCGCTTAAATGCGTTGAAACAATTAATATTCCAAAAAAACAATATACAAAATGCGCATTGTAAACTTTAGACCACAAAATTATTAATTTAAGTTTGTTCAGAGACCAAAATAAATTTAAATCCAAAATAAAATTTTCAAAAGTAAAAAACGAAATTAAAAACTTAAGTAAAAATTAAACTTTGTCTACTGTACTACAAAGTGAACGTAAATTTTCAAATTAAAATTGTATCTTAAGGCACAGCAAAATTATTCATAAAGACTACAACCATATTTCGTTGTTTTTAGGAGTCACAGCTAAAATTGAAAACTTTGGGCAATTGTAAACTATCGGAGTCTATGTTTTGGGAACTCTTGTTTTGAAGTATTAATTAAACCGAATTCCAATGCAGCCAAAAACATACTGTAAAATCTAAAATAAAAACTAGAAACAAAAGATAAAACAGAACTTCAGTGACAAAAAGCAGATGCCTTACAAGAGACCGGTTATACAGTAAGAAAAGAGCGATACGAGAACAAATTTTGACGAAAACTTTTAAGTTGACGTATATAAAAGCAATGATCGAAAGAAAGACTATATAAAACTATAATAACGTAAGCCCCACCCAAAAACAAAAATAAAAAATTGAAAATTAAACAGAGAGGATTTGATAAACTTTTAGCCCAATACGCGAAAGAATAGTTGTTTTAGTTTCAACCAAAAAACTCCTAAAAACAACTGAATTTAGACACAAAATTTTATATATTTCTTATAAATCGATTAAATTAAAATTAAGCCAGACATTTTGAATATCCTTAAGAGAGAGAGATGGTACGTCCACTTTAAAAGTTTTTAAACGTATGGGAAAAACGGAAACTAAACCATTTTATTTAAAAAGCGCGCAAAGTCGATAATGGGACTAGTTGAAAAACTATATTACAAACCATATAATTAATACAATTAAATGTAAATGATAAACAAAAAAAAGAAAACATAGAGTTAAGTTTAAGAAGGCAGCAAGCAAACATGCAACTCTTTTGGCTTCTACAACAAACATTGACTAAGGATGAAAATTTCTTCAAAATTTTTGAAACAACTTTTGGCTATAAATTTAAGAAACAAGCAACGATAGGCAGACAACCGAAAAATTACCACATAAATGCAATAGAACTCAAAATTATTTACAGGCAACAAGCAACATGATGTTTTTAAATGTAATTAAATAAATTAATTTAATTAATTTATTTATGTTAAAAGCTGAAAGACTGAATATGTTTAAATGAAAACCAAAATGTAACGAAAACAATGAAATGAAAAGATATGAACTTTTTCTCAAGTGTGTGTATGAACTTAAATAATTTTAATAGCCGAATTTCTAGCACAAATTTTAAAACGACTAAGAAATTATTTATTTGTTTTTGAACTCATTTTTTCCTGTCGGAATATAATTTTGTTTTCTTTCCATTCAGTGCAAGTTGTTTTTTTTTCTGTATATGTAAAAGAAAGCGGAAAGCATGAAAACGGATACAAAAGTTAAATATATTGCAAAATGTAAAGACAACAAAAACAAAGTGAAAACAACCAAACAAAAGTCGCCTTAGCCAAGCACCACAAAGCAAAAAGATGATATGAATCGAAATGAAACAAAAATTTGTAAAACCAAGCATAATACTAAACTTAAATACCAATTATTTGTTGTAATTTAATGTAATGAAGAAACTGATACTCACACAACAGCAAAGAAATCTACAACAGAATAGTGCAAAAGTTCAAAAACAAAACCTATTTGTAATTTAATTTTTATAGCCAAAGAAGAAACGAATCAGAGGAAAGCAGGAGCGGTAGGATCCAAAAGGATAAGTGAATAATTTAGTTTTAAGCAGCCCTAAACAAATTCTGAACAAAAACGAATTGGTTACTTAGTGATAAACACAAAATAAATGTTTTAATCAACAATACAAAATTCGAGCTTAAATGATTTCCAAAAACAAAACCCTGACTTCAGATTGGAATTGGTTCTTAAAAATGTATTTTTTTAACATATGAAAACGTTGTAAAAAAATTATAAATTGAATGAAGAAAACTAGCGTGCTCATAAGTTTACAATATAATGTTTAAATGTGTGGGAGTGGTTTGCCATCTTACTTATGTAAAATAAATATAAGTTTAATTAATCTACCAATTACTAATAAGCTAACTATTACCAATAACTAACACAGCAAATTCCGAAAACTGAAAATCTGAAACTGATAATAAATAACAAACTAAAAAACAACGATGAAATGGCTTTTTTAAACCAGAGCGGGTGGGGGTATGACTAGATTTCAAACCATTCATGAGTTAATCTATAAAATTCACTCCAACTTTAAAATTGTTGATTGTTGAAAATCCTTTAAAGTTTCCTCCGAATAATTTTATTTTGTATATTTTACCTGCTTTCCGATTCCAAAATGTAATAAAAACCCTAGCACAGGGGTGCATTGAAAATATTAGTTTTACATTTGATGGATACATAGATTGTCTTGGCAATGGTGCGGTGTTGTGAGGAAAAATTATGTACATTTATATATAGATTACTTATTTATTGCAATGCATAAACAACAAGCAGATACATATTTACAAGATAATAATCATTGCACAGGAAGTGTATAGATTGCAGCCTCTGAGATTCCATCGGTTTCTCTGGGGGCCTAGGCCTCAGGCTGAGCCACCTGTGGATTCTGCTTCTCCGCCTTCAGCCGCTGCTTCTCCTTGAGCAGCGCATAGCACTCGGGTACCTTGTTGTAGAAGTCGCACAGCTTCGACTGCGAGTTGAAGGCCAGGTACTTGCCGCAGTTGTACAGACGTGGATGTCCGTTGACGCACACGAAGTACTTCTTGCAGGTCTGCGGGTGGCGATAGTATCGCAGCTCTCCCTCCGGACTGACGTCCACCTCGGGAGCGGTACCATCGATCGCATCGGCGGCTGGGCAGTTGAAGCCTAGATAGGCCTCGGCATTGCAGTTGGCCACTAGATCGGGCCAGTCGCACTGGTAGGTCTCCTCGTTGAAGGCCAGTCCCTCGGGGCACTTGGTTATCGAGGCTACGCCATGGGCACAGTTGCGGTAAATGCCGCACTTGGTCTCATCTCCATTCGGATAGAAGCCAAACTGCCGCGGGCACTCATCCGTTCCATTGGCGGGCTGCAGGCGGGCCCGCTCCTTGCAGGTGGAGTACGGGGCGTATGTGCACTCTCCGGTCGCCTTGGTGCGCTGGTGGAACAATAGGCCATCCGGGCACAGTTTCTCAACCGGAACATCATCCTTGCACTCTGTGTAGGCATCGCACTGATCGCCCGATGCGAATCGACCGTTGGGCGAGGGGCATTCCGGTGAGCCAAGAACTGAAATCAAAAAATTAGGCCATTAAAGTGGATGTATTATGTGTGAAACTTGACAGTTGTGATTATATAAAAGCTTGTTTTATTTATATTTTTCCTTTTTTTATTTCGACGAGCAACAATCAGATTGCCAAAATCTTTAACTACAGACTAGAAAACTCGAGCAACTTATTGCCATATGGCCTGTGCATTGGGAATCGCTTCCTTCCGACTTAGTTCCTAGTTCTTCTTGGCATGAAGACGAGCGGCCTTGATCTGGGCGCCCTTCTCGCGGATGGCACTGCTGCAGTTGGGCACGTTATCGATGTCGTCGCACTGCTTCAGCTCCTGGTTGAAGGCCTGGTCCTCTCCGCAGCCAATGCGGCGCGGACGTCCCTCGATGCAGATGAAGTACACCTGGCAGTTGTCCGGCGATGGATGGAAGGTGTAGTCCTCCTCCTGCTCGCCCAGCAGCTCAGATTTGGGGGCCAGGGCAGGGCATCTGAAGCCGAGGAAGGCCTCGGCATCGCAGTCCTCGACCTGATCGGGCCAATCGCACTTGTAGGTGGCCGGATTCCAAGCCAGACCTTCGGGGCAGTCGAAGACGAAGCCACGGCCGGCGGCGCAGTTCATGAACTGTCCACAGTGACTGGCATCGCCCATGCGATAGTAACCGAACTGGTGGGGGCAATCCTCCGTGGGCTGGGCAGCCTGCAGACGGCTCTGGGCCTGGGTGCACTCCACGTCGATGGGATAGCCGCAGGGGTAGCCGGTAGACTTCTCGTTGTACAGCAGACCGTCGGGGCACAACTTCTCCTCGGCCACGCCGTTCTTGCATTCGATATAGGCGTCGCAGGATCCTGACACTGGAGCCGTTCCGTTCGCTTCCCGACATCCTCCGGCGGCAGCGGCAGCTGTAAGAGATAGCAGACGGCGGTTAGTCTCGATCAATGGAATTTGGGTGGCAAGCTTACCTCTAATGATTTATGATGAGAAACTGCCTTTTTATTTTTTTTAACTATATTTTTGATACTCTGTAATTTATGATCGAACATGTCGTGGGACTTGCCTCAGGGCAACATTCCACTTGACAATGGATCGCCTTTTTTTCCCGCGGTATTATATGCACATACACGGGTAATGAAATTTTTAAATGAATTATGGGCACACACCCCGGTTGTTGAACCGGTGGATATTATTAAGAAATTTTCATTAGATATGATATACAAGAAATATTGTTTCTATAACCAGTGCCAGGGGGTGGGATTAAATGAATCTGGTTATTTTAAACATTTTAGTTATGTGTACTTGTTTAGAAAATAAAAGGAATTAAGGGGAAATCTTATTAGAAGATTTATAATAGGGGTTAGCAAAAGGTTTAAAGAACAGTCTATACCAGGAGAGGGCCATGAAGTGCGCTTTCAAAAATCATGTTTTTTAAATACAGAATATTTAATAAAATATTAATAATCAAGTAACTACTTGTTAGGGGTGTGATTCTTATGTAGTACAGATGTGCAAGTGATTCGTGAGAATATTCTTTTCTTTTTAATACATGTGTAAAAGGGGGCGACATATCAACTCAGAAAAAGAAATGTTATTAATCTAACATATGGAAATGTTTATCAACATAGTGCAAAGCCGAAGGTTCTCGTAGTTTATGTTAATGGTTCCATACAGGATAATTTAATTTATTAATACACATTATAATACAATACAATACATAATCCAGATCAAGAATACATACAAAAGTGTATTTTATAACTTCCTTCGACGAATATAAATTTACCTACAAATTTACGAGTGACACGAATAAAAAAATGTATAAAATAAAATTTCTATGTATTAAGTTCACATTTTGAGCCAACATGACAGACGAAGATAATCACAGGAGAATAAACGAAACTGTTGCTAATCAATAGAAAAAATCTCTCTAAGCTTGAACAGATAAAAAAGGATAAATAATAAAAATCTCACTGGATTTAATAAAATTGATATTCGTTCTATTTTTTTATTCCTATATTCAAATTATCTAAACTCTTGTAAAATTGCCTTTACTAAAAAAATGTTTAGATCGGTGGAATGATTCCTTACATACCAAATTTAAAATCGAATTTGCCTATTTTGTTCTTCTTACAATTATAATCATTTTCATATGCAAATAGTTTCCCACACGGTTTACGGACCGTTTCTTTCATCAAAGCCTGACAAAGTGAGGATGAACTAAATTCAGAGCTCCGCGAGAGGTGCAAAGGCGCTTAAAGGTCACAACAACCGGCTATACACGCACCGAGATCGATCTGTCGCCTCTAGCTCCCCCTAACATGTCTGACCGCTATTCGCAAGATAAACTCGTTTCATTCGACGAGATCACACAATGGACCAACGCGCTAGCAGCAGCGCCAGCCAAAGGTTATGCAATAATCATTTCTTTCTGCTTGCTTCGGCGTGTGAATTAAATTTCTGAAAATGTTGCCAGCTGACCTTGAAATATTAATGAAATTTCGGTGTGATTTTAAATATTAGTATTACTTCAGCGATTCGCTTTTTCGTTAGCAGTAATTACTTGAATTTATTCAGCATTTTTCTCTTTCCTTATGTTAAACTTTCGAAAACTCGTGTGATTTCCTGGTATTGTAAAAATGATGCATGAATTTCGCAAGATCATCTCAGTCTTAAAATTGCAATCTGGCTCGACCAACAGAGTAATTGGAGATCTTGCGAAATGAGCGTGTCTATAACATTATATGATCGTTATTTTTGGTGACATAAATTTATTTTCGGCTTAAGATGAAACCATACTATTTTTGTCACTTTTTTTATTTTCTAGCTAGGATTAATTCCATCAGATTTGAATATGGAAAAGTTTGTCACCAAAGTCATTCGTTTTGGCAATAAAAATGTATAAAACTATAGAATACTAACCCATCGAGCCAAACATGGCCACACACAATAAAGCACTGATTAATATTTTAGCCATATTAACTGTTGTGTTAAGTCCTCGGGATGTTCGTGGATGCAAATGTGGTCCCAGTGGGCACTAAAAGTTAAACTAAAGAAGAGCTGCTGCGATGCTCAGCCAACGAGCTGACAATTTCGACTGTTTTGCGCTAGAAACACAACGCAGATATTAACTGGTAACATCACATACGAAGCTGAAGCTCTTCAAGATGATCATCATCATCATCATCATCGCAACGAGCCGAGCCGTCGCCGGAGCTTGCTGATCTTCCTCTACCTGTTGGGGATTCGCAACAGCTTTTGTCGTTGCCGTCGTAATCTCAGCCTCAGTTGCAATAAAAACAAACATGCCAATAAATAACAAATAAACGAAACGACATCAGATGGCACAAAAATTCAACGGAAAAAGCTTCCTTTCGCTCGAAATGAGTAGTCAGTTCGTCATCCTAGCAAGTTCTGCTCCACGTTTCAGCTAGCAACTGTTTTAAATATTAATCAACGAAAACGACGTCTGTATTTAATTTATGTTTGATTTAATTTCCATATTTCGCACTTTTGTTTTCGTTGAACTGCCAACCGAAAATCAATAGAAACCAGAAAATTCAACATAAAGTCAAGGTCGACTGCGCCCATGAGATGAGGCCGTACCAATCACGACAATCCGACAATGATCTTGGCATTAGGCCTTAGCTTGAGCTGTGGGGATTTTTAAAGAAAAGAATCAAAATCAAAGCTTAAATTAAGTAATGACGAAAGATGCAGCAAATGTCATGAGACAGACAAAACGTGTTTAAGGCAGCGAAAAAACCTATGGAGAATTTGACTGACGAGTATATTAAATTTATATGAAATCGTCTTAACGCTTTAGATGAATGTTCAAGAAATACACCTTTTACATCTTGTTTTAATATTCATTTTTATTTTTTCATTTTTTGTGTAGCTTTCCTTAGATTTAACTAGTAGTCCATGCTCAGCAGATTTGCACTTAACTACTTATTACAAAAGTTATATTTAGACATATGAGGCGTTCTTGCAATATGTGTAAGTCAAAATTTTGCGATCAAGGTCTTCTTTCTGGTCAAATTAGGTATACCCCCTAATAAAATTAGATAAGAACAAAAATACAAGTACTTTTCGTTAAATAAAAGGAATTAAACCATTGGCAGGCAATAAATCATTAAGAAGACTCATTCAATAGGAATTGTGACATCGACTTGAAGTTATAAAAAATAATCCATTTTAATTAACTATTTATGTACTTACAAAGATTAATACATTGCCTTTTATTATTTTTTTTATATACATACAAAAATATGCTTTATGCGTTGCCAATTCAAAAGAAACTGAGGATATTTTCCAGCTGTTTTTTGTAATGGTTCTTAAAAATAATTTATATTCTTCGTTTTGTCTAAGGCACTTTTACACTTTACATTACATCATACAAATATATTCTTTATCCAAATTGTCGTATTCTATTTATATTTTTAATTCTGCTCTCAGCTACATTTTCAACAACTTGCATTAGGTTTAATGATATTTTAGTATTACTAATGGAAAATATTAATTAAACCAATTTTTGAGCGAATACATCTAAGACTTGATTTGCTAACCTGGATCTTAGCCAAATCGAAGCTTATGCGCTAAGTGTGAAATAAATACAAACACCAAATGTTGTATGTTGTTCCCAAGTCACTTTCAAAATGTACTTTTATTAAATATTCAACAACATACGTAAAATTTGCTGTATTTCAGCTAAGTACTAATATTTTTTCAACTCTCTAAAACCGTCCTCTTAGTTGCTATTATTTTTCTTTATTTCGATAAGGCCTACGCAACAAAAACCTTCAGCATTTCACTCAAAATCGAATCGCGAATTCGATTTCTCAATATTGTTTTTAACATTTATATGTGCACAAGTTTGACTTAATGTTCAACACTAATAAAAAACATATACAAAACTAAATTTACGTTAAGTTTAATGCATATGGGGTGTCTAATCATCCTTTCTGATCGTCCCCTCATTTCTTATCAATTAGGTTTAACATCTCCATATCGCTTTACTAGTACAAATATCACGGTTCGCATTTATGCCTATTGAAATGTAATCTTCAATTGCATCAATTGCTTTGCCTACCATTCAGTGTGGTAAGTAAACAAATCAATTCTCAATGTGGGTTTTCTTGTATAAATTTTAATAGTAATTGTGTTTGTTTTGAAACTTGTCTTTAGCCTTTTAACTTTATCTCTATTACTATTACGATTTAACTCTCGAAGTCTATTTGATTCAATTCAATGATTCCTACTCTGCTATTCAAGTCAAATATTTAACGCTGGAATTTATTTGGCCCGGTATCGGTCTAATCTACGTTTTGGTCTTTGCAGTAAGTCTACATTGCCCAAGAAAACACTGTTTAATCTATGGCTTTATTATGCAAACACACAAACACAAAGTGGTAAGACTGCTGTTTTTTGTCGATGTCAATTGGGAATCTCGCCCTGGTAATACAAAAATAATGTTGCTCTCAATTCCTCTGTTGAGTATTTTGAAAAATGAATGCATATGGAAAATTCAGCTAAATATCGATAAACTTAAGTTAATGGCCTAGGCTAAAAGTAACTGATAATGACTGCCTATGAGTGATGGAAATCCCTATATTTCTCAAGTTTCCAGTTGTTGATTGCCAGAGAGCTGGAGACAAGGAAGGTCCAAAAAGTGGTTCAAAGGGTGTTATTATTTACAGAAAGTTCATGGAAGTGGATCAATTCTAGGCGTGGAGTTTTGAACAATTTTTATCAAAGTACCTTTGGCTGATTTGGCTGCTATTTCCAGCTTAAGAATGGCCTGGTAAATGGAACATAGCATGATACCCAAAAGCCACATTTACCTACGTTAAATCTATTTAAGCCATGCTCTCAAGGCTTTGCAGAGTAGAAAAAGATAACCCAGAACGCGCGGAAAAACCCAATAAGTCCTCATGGCGTTACACGACCCGACCTATAGCTAAGCCTAACTACGTAATGCTCTATTAGTCCTAGGGCTAAGTCTCTAGCTAATTGTAAAACGCACACTTGCAGTGCGCATCCAATGCTATAGAAGGAATGGGAGTCGGTAGGGTCAACACTACCGATCTATAGCATTGCAAATAGTAATAGTGAAGTTGGTTGTAGTCTTTTCGCCTTTGCCTCAGCTCAGCTCGGTTTCAGAATTAGTTACTATATCGCACATCCCTTGCGCATGCCGTACATGATCTTCAGTTCCGGATAGATGATCTTCCGTATCAGCTGGTTCGTCTTGCCGGACAGCATGGCTCGTCGATTGTCCTTCTTCAGCACTTTGATGCCCGGTTTGTGCACCAAAAATGCGTTGTCCAGTATGTGGAATTCGTAGTCCATTACGCAAAGCGCATAGCCCTGGAAAATTGATTATTAATTACTGCTTACCAACGGATAAGAGATTGGACTCACCTGAGGCATCTTGTCGCTCTTTCCCTCCCAGCTGAGTCGCTCATCGTAGTGGGGATCGGAATGAGTTCCAATATAGATCGGCTCCCAATGCACATAGTAACCAGTTCGCTTTCCTGCCAAGGCGTAAAGAGAACAACAATTATTATAATCGAAAGAAAACATATATTTTTTTTACAGTACCTATGTGGAAAACACTAAGTTCATCTGTCTCGTTGGCAGACATCCACTCCTTGGACTTTGGTACTCCGTGGCAGCTGGCGCAGACCCGTTTATGAAAGGGTATGGCCTTGCCTGTGCGCAGGAACTCCTGCAGTTCGGTCTTGTCGTGGGGCACCGGAGAGTTCTCCTCCACCTCGAAGATGGCCAATGGAAATACCCTTTAATTGAAAAATAATATTCGTTTCGTAATTAATATAAATTAATTAAAAAAGAATACTCGTCCGTAATTATAAAAGTCGAATGATAGCTATGTAGAGGTATGTGAATTAATTAATTAATGTAGATTAATGTAAAATGTATGATTCAATCATATCAAGTTTATATTTTATCATTTCAAAAAGAAATAGAAATACTGTTTTGATTTTTTAACAAATATTATAAAATAAGATAAACATAATCTTTATTCATATCAAAATTTGTGGAGTGTATAGTCCCAAAAAAAAGAAACAGGAAAAAGGAAAAAAAATAGTAAAAAGGAAAGGAATAGGTTGTATTACTTTTTAAAATTTGGTGAAAAATTATAAAGTGATATCAATTATTTTTTTGGGCCTTTGTTGTATAGACAGAAATTCTAATGCTCTGAATTCCGTAAGGAATAAAAGTAGCAACATTATTATTTTTCCAATATTTAATTATTATTTATTTAACTTGATTAATATCAAGTATTGAATGACTACACCTGTGAAGTAATAACCAAAAAGGCACTCACCTGGGTGCTTTCCGTCTCAAGTACTGCTCGTTGCGGGCAATCATCTCGAGGAATTTCTTGACCAGACCGGGGTTCGGGTATAGCTCAATGTCGGAGGCCAGGATGAAGTGGGTGAGGGCCGAATCGCGGGCAATGTTGCGTCCCACGTTCACCGGATAGAGGAGCTTTTTTTGCGCCTTGTACAAGTGGCCCGAGCTGACGTTGAAGTACGGAGGCGGTAGTGTGCAGTTGTAGCCCGTCTTGAAGACCTCATGCGGCTTGGGCACCGACTTGGGAATGTGCTTGGTGCCGAAGTAGATGTGGAAGGTGGTGTAGGCGCGCACCAGGTGGCTGCCGGGCAGGCAGTCCCGCAGATACCGGATCGAATCCAGCGTGGGCTGGAAGTCCGTGCCCGGCGCGTGCATGGCGATGCTGACCGGGGCGTTCCAGCGCTCCAGCAGCGGCACCAAATTGTCCAGGAACGTGTAGTCCGCATGCGTTGTGTAGGTGATGGACTCGTGGCACTTGATGTCGCCGTGCTCCGCCCTCACGTAGTTCTGCAGGACCCAAAAGTCGCCACGCTGCAACGTCTGCTGGTGGTAGTCGTGGTCGAAGCAGTTGATCAGCGATCGCACTCGCTCCTCCAGCTCCTTCTCGTCGCCGGTGACTATGTATCCACCGTCCGCCTGGGTGTTGTTCGCCTCGGCAATGCCGCCGGGACCAATGTTTCCGACCACCTGGGCGGGATCGTTCAGGGCAGCGGCTCCACCACTGTCATTTGCCAACTGCGGAGCTCCGGCAGCAGCGCCATCGCCCGCCTGAGGAACTGCTGCTGCTGGGGAGTCAGCGTTCGAATTGACCAGCTGCTTTTCCTCCGACTCGAAGATCTCCGCCACCTGCTGAGGGGAGAGAACGAAAAGATAGTTCAAATTTCATCTACATTTTTCTTTATCATATCTTACATTCTGATTCTTGGGCGTGGGTGGTTGTGGCGGCTGTTGCGCCTGCACCAGAGCCGCAGACGAGGCGGAGCCCACTTGGAGGAGCTGCTGTTGGTCCTGCAGCAGGAAACCGCCGCCGTTCGTAAAGTTGTTGCCGCCGCCGATCATCAACTGACTGCCGATGTACAGGATCACCGCCACGTTGATCAAAATGCTGCAGCGCAGCAGCCAGTTGCGGCGTGTGAACATTTTCTGGCCCAATGGCTCAAAACGCATGTTGGAGCTGCAAGAGAAATAATTGTTTCTTTAATATTAAATTTCCATTTTATAATTATAATTGGTTTAGAATGCCTTAAATATGGGTAGAGTTTAAGTACTAGGAGTGGGTCAGTAGAATGGGACTTCATTTGTTTTTCCCTGCCATTCGTCCAATACGTTTTAGGTACTTTAAGAAAACCTATAATTATACCTAGTTTAATAAAATGTTGTTAGCTTTAAATATGTTTGGCAACCTTTTTTAAAACCTTTTTCAAATTTAAATAAAAACTAAAAAGCCTTTGAACGATTCTCAAATTGACTCTTTACTCAAATAAATGTACATTAGGGCGGTCCAAAAAATGAAATTCTTTTCTCACCCCTTAACATGGTATATTAAAGTACGCAAAACATGTATGTGAAAACAAAATAATTTTTTTCTCGAATTTAGACCTTGCGAAACGTCTTTAAAGTTTGCTTTAAAATTACTCATACGACATGTATAACAGCTCGAATTTGGTCGAAAAAAATCGCTCTCCCATTTCTTGTCTTGTCAAATTATGAATTTCGTTGGAATAATTGGTAAAAAAAAAGGAGAGCAAAACATCAACTGAATTGTTGATATCTATGCCACCTTGATCAGAAATACTTTTTGATCGAAGGCAACAGTGCGTATGGGTGATAAACTTTGAAACCAATTCGCAGACCCTAAAACACGATTTTTTTAAAAATTGTCTTTTGATATACCTTGAATACCACAATGCGCACCGTATAAGCGGGTGAGAGTAGGACCTTAAAATTTTCCATACAAATGTGGACCGCCCTAATGTACATACTTCGTCGAAAGCGACCTCTACAGAATTTTTGTAAGCAACAGCCGTTGTCCCAAAGTGTCCCAACTTGTCCCAAGATAGGTACAAAAAAATTAATTTTTTTATACTAGTTAAAAAAATTCAAAAAATTAAAAAAAAATTTTGGAATTTAACAACTCATTTTTGTAATTGGTTTTCAATTTAATTTAAAATTACAATGAAAACCAAGGGAAACCGATTACCAAAATCATTTACATGACAGCATGTAGATACCAATGTAAATGCATATAACAAATAATGTGGCGACTCCTGTTGGTATATCTTTTTAAGCGCCCTCTTAGAGGAATTTTGAGGAAAACGCGGTACGGTAGATGGCGCTATTAAACAATCTATGATGCGAAGCAAAGGCAAAAATTTAGTCCCAACAACCAAAGAACCTCGACTATGAGATACTCATTACGCGCAAGGTGATACACATAAAAAAGCTCATTCGAAATTCAGGTGGAACTCGTATTGGTGTACATTCCTCCTGATTTTCGCCAGAAGAAAATTTCTGAATGTGCGCCAAAAATGTTGTGATAAGCTCAAGATTTCAACCTAATTTAATTTGACTTAAATCGCACAAATTTATAATTTTTCGAAATTTTTTCTTTTGAAACATTATTTCTGGAATTAAGGAATTTTTTTAAAATTCTAATCGAGAATATATGTTTACACTTTATAGGGTTGGAAACGCTTCCTTTGCCAAATTCATCACACTTCTTCAGTAATAATACACAACGAAAACAACAAAAGTTTTTAAAAATAACACAAAGTTAATGATTTTTAAAACTTTTTATGTGTTTTAGATAATTTGAAAATTGTAAAAAAAATCATTACAACTTTACTTTATCTGTTATCTCTTTTTATCAATCACATATCCTTTTAATTTATAAATTACACACGGAAGGTACTAGTTCCAAAATCAATGTGTCCAGATAGACGAGGTCACATTTTTTAATTTATACAACTGCGAGAAATCATATCAACTTTCCGAACACCAAATTCTAAAATCTTCTGTTGTAAATTTATTAGGGCACCATTATCAATATTAGTTGGTCACTTCTAATCAGAATTAAGTGGTTTTTGCTCGACATTTGTATTGTATTAAACAAACTATGTTTTTATCTTGCCTTTTATTAAACTCCATTTCGGAGGAAAAAGTCTGAAGCCTCTGACTCTTCAACAGAAACTGCTGAATTCTGTGTGTAATTGGCACAGTTTTCTCTAAAAAACGTAACCCAACGACGTACTTCCCTTTCTGCTAGCGTATTGTTTGCGCTCGTTATCAATTAACTGCTCATGATTACTTATCATTCAGCGTAGTTAACCAAACAAAATGTCGCACAGGAAGTGCTTACGTGGGTTTCAGTTTGTCAAGCACTTTGCTCTGCTATCCCGTACCAAAAGATGCGGGAGTGGACTTGTTTAAAGAATTCAATGTCATTTTGAATGCATTTTACGTTATATGTACGTAGATATGTATCAACAAATGTTCGCATAACATTAAGGTGAGCCAGCACGGGTTTTACAATCAATTCGGGGGATACCAACCCGAGAGAGCAACGACTTTTGGCAGCTGAGCGATCAAAATCTCGGACATTAGTCACCAAAAGAGACCGCAAATGATTTAAAAATCACTATGGACGGCAGTCCATGTAGTGACGAAGCGCACCAGGAGAGTGTGCGAAGGCGACTACTATTATATAGCCGCAAAATTGAAAATCTGCTGTGATAGTCCGATCGTAATGAGTAATACACCAATCGAAAGGTATTGCAAAAACTTAAAGGATTGCATACCAAGACTTTAAGAAAATCAATTGGCTTGGGAGAGAGAGCGGTGAAAGTGAAAAAGTGAAATTTTCGAAATTTGGAGCTGTTGGGGCCGGTGGGGATAAATGCCCCCTCGCAATATTTTAGTTGTATTCCTTTTGAAAATACCCGTCGAATGAGGGGTCATTTGTCAAAATCCGACGCTCCGTTCAAAAGTTATAGCCAAAATAAGATTTTCTTCTTCTTCCCAAAATGAAAATTAATTTCTGTTTGTCCACTTGTCCAAAATATGTTTTTTAAGTTCTGAATATTTGATATGACGTTCATCACATCGATATAAAAAACTTTTGTTCTACCACTTTTGGAAAAACCCGCTAGTTTAGCGGGAAAACAGCTATAAATAGCTAAAATTCGGAAAGCCGTAACTTCTATACTACTAAAGCTACAGACTTGTGCTGCATCTCGTTTGAAAGGTATTTTTAAATGCTATAAGCGCCTTCTATATGCAATTTGTGTAAATGTAATAATTAAAAGATATGAACAAAAGACAATTTTTTAAAACTTTTTTTTAGCTTTTTTTATTTTTCTCAAAAACGGCTCTAACGATTTCCTTGAAAACTTTAAACTGTATACCCCTTGAGATTCCTTAAATTTTGGTATATAACACATTACTGTAAAAAGTCACGTTTAAAAGTTATTTTTATACGAAAATAGCCACTTTTGGCAGCTCGAACAACTAAAGCTTCCTGAGTATTGAATTTTGTGTGAGGGTATCCGAACTGTATTTTAGGGTCATGGAATCAGTAAATTTGCACTTAAGAGTTCCATATAGGAATCTTTTGTTCTACGACTTTTGGAAAAAGCCGCTACTTTAGCGGGAAAAAAGCTAAAATTGGCTAAATTTCGTTAGTTTGTAAGTTCTACACTACTAAAGGTACAGACATGTGCCATACCTCGTTTAAAAGGTATTTTGAAATACTTTTTAACTTAATTTGTTTAAATACAATGGCTTACAAATTATGATTGACCAATTTAAATTTAAATGTATATATTAGCTCCTATGAGAGCAAATGTAAACAAACAAAAACTTCTGATATCAAATAAAAACACCTCTTAACGAGGTAAAAAACTAGTGACGATCGCACCTTCAACATACAAAAGTTCTGATATCAACATTTGTGACGAAAAATTATTACACTCGTCATTAAATAGACTTTCTAATATTTTTTCATTCGGCACGCTGCAATAGAAAATGCCTGTGAAGGGAAAAAGGCTGGAATAGTCTGCTAGGGCGGGCCGAATGAGAAAATATTAGAAAGTCTATTTAATGACGAGTGTAATAATTTTTCGTCACAAATGTTGATATCAGAACTTTTGTATGTTGAAGGTGCGATCGTCACTAGTTTTTTACCTCGTTAAGAGGTGTTTTTATTTGATTAAATATAAAGATTGAAAATAAATGAACCGGAAGAAAAAAACATTTAGGGCTGTTAAGTGTGCTTTTAATCTCGCTTTTGGATATTCTGAAAGTACTTAATGAAACTAGCTGCGGCCAATTAGCAATATTATTTTCTTTCTTTTATTTTCAAAATCAACGTTATTTGTTGATAAACAGTATGGCTTAAAAAAAACCCAATGCTAAAGCCTGTTGATCAGATGAATACAAATCAATCGCGGCTTCTGGAGAAGACAGACACATTCATTACCGCACCATACCTTGGGGGTCCACACGAGTTCCGAAATTCAAAACTATTAGGCTGTGAGGCCCGTGTTTTGGGTTCATTGCACCATCGTAAAAGTGGATAGCAGGCGGGCGCGTGGGTCTCCTGGAGAGTAGCAAAGTGCCACCGGTTTTGTGTGTTTCTAGGGCATCGTTGGATGATGAATTTGCATAGCTCGGGCCGATCCAAGTCCCCAGTAATCCGCACTCTACGCACACAGGAAACAGAAAGCAGAAAGCAGACCCAACTACTGAGTGAACAACCACCGAACCAGCATTACAATTTGCGGTCTGGCCGGCGGGCAATTTGATAAAAGTTTGAGAAAACTTTGCTCCGCTTGGCAACAGTCTGAAGTTTCACTTCTCTCCAACGATCACACTTGGCATCATAATCGACGACTCGATAGCCAACAGTTTGATATGTTTCTGTGATTTTTGAGGGCTCTTTTTCGACATGCCTACATACTTCGTGGCCTTTCTTTGTTACTGGCTTTGCTGGGTGAGGCTGTGTGACTTGTTGTGCTAATGGTGATTATGCAAAACCCAAAAGTTGTCTGACTTACAAAATTTGGAGCGAAACGTGAGAATTTTTATGAGTTTTCAATTTGCCAGCCGAAGTTGTGCCTCAAAAAGGCATTATGAAGTGCGACACACGTTTGGTCTGTACCAATGATCTGAATACAG